GAAGTGATTGGAACACCTGATTCCAATAATTTGGATGGGTGAGCAAATACTTTTGGCAATATAGTGTATATATGATATACAAAAAAATTTATTTAAGCCTACCCTTTACAATAAACTTTCCTGCAAACTTCAAATTAAACCCAATCAATTTCCTTGTCTCCAAAAATCAGAAAAACTAGCTCATTCAGAATCAACACTTCCCCAAACACTGGAGATATTTGCACAGTTCTCTCCTATCCTTTTGTTTTGCTGCTGCAGGTTGTGTGTGTTTTTTTTTCTTCCCATCAGTGGTTCCTACGTGTGATGTTCACTTCCAGGTCAGGGTAGAAAAGCCACGTTCCTTCCCAGTTCTTTGCCTGTAGGAGATCACTGGTTTTTACCTCACTTAAACTACCTTCTCAATTAAAAAATAAATAAAATGAAATCAGGACTTAAGGTGTAACAGTAAATTTAATCTTAACCAAACATATGTGCAGTCCTGGGCTCCTGTTATTGTCATTAGGAATAAGGGATGCAGAATGAGCGCTGAATAGTGTTTGAAACGGCTTTCTATAGATCAGCAGGGACTCACCCTGCAAGTAGAGGAGAGGCATCACCAGAACGCACCTTTAAGACTGTGATAAGTAAAATAGAGTCTGAGGTTTATCCACATGCACACGCTGTACCAAGATAACTGACAGCTTGTCTAAGCGTGTCACATCTGTGACATGAACAGTGTCAGTGAATGATCTTTTGCAGGTTCATATATCTAACAAAAGATACGCAGACAAAGAAGGGTTAAAAATGAATCAAGTGCCACTTCTGGCATGGCTGTTAAAAAATGAAGCCCTAATGATTTATGGGTTTAAAAATTAACAGCCCGAGCATTAATTTATGAATGTCAAACATGTTTAAACTAAACTGGAATTAAGAAAAATAGTCTTGAGTGGCTTTCAACTTCCCCATATCGCAGATCCCTTTTGCCTTTTTTAAACCTTTATAAACTGGAATTGAAGCAGAGCCCCATGTGTGCGTCATGAGTGCATCATGTTTGTGTCAGATGGAGCCAAACTGATGACAGGAGCTGAACAGTTTAAATTTTTTTATTTCAAACTTTACAGTCACACAGAAAATGGTAAATATCATGTGTCTCTTTTTCAGATGAACAAGTGTCAGCAGTGTGACGTTGCATCTTTGGCGCTGATTAAGTGACCACGTTGATCAGACATGGGACTGAACTTAAGACCTGGTCATCATCGTCAGAGCACATTATCAGACTCCGCCCACAATCCAAATGGGTCATGTGATCGCTCTCCTCCACTTGGGACTCAAACCTTTATGGACCCGTTTCTCAGATTTTAGAGACTTTTTAAAGAAACTTTTTAACGAAGCTGAAAGAGCCGACAGGATGGGATCAAATCACATAGCAGGAGACAAGACTTTTTATAAGAGTGACGATATTTATGCTCTCGCTGGAAAAACAGACCACCACGTACCTCCATTCGCTCTCCAAGCTCACTCATCTGCACATGTTTTATGTTCTTAGCTGGTTTGCTTTAATGTGCGTTTAACGTTTTTTGTTTCAGTTGGATTTCTTATCTTGCAAATGTGAGCTGTTTGGACTTTTTCTTCAGATGACTTTTAAGGAAATTTGAATGTAAATCATGATCTGGGGTGGAAGAAAGAAAAATAGATGTTTAGATCTTTAGATTTCTAATAGTTAAAAAAAGCACTGATGAATTTTTGAGGCAAATATATAAAAATTCAAATTCACAGTAAAGCTCTTCACTATATTGTTCAGGCGGTGGGGGAAAAGCACTCCCTACCAAAGCTTCAGAAAACACACATGTCTGTGTTTAGCACTTAGTTTTATTTGCCTCACTTGTCAAAAAATAATCTATTTAACCCTTTTCCTGTACCTTTGGGTGACCTTCACCCGGCCACCTCTTCTATTGCTCTCTCTGTCTGCCTTGTGAGGTTCCTCAGCGACCTGCTGCCTCCTGCACATGCCATTAAACCTGTATTATAACTGGTTTTTAATGAGCTGAAGAACAAATGCCTCGCTGCTTCCCGTAGAGTAAAACGCACGCGTCCATTTAATTGCAGCAGCTGTGATGAAACAATAAATTAGCGCCGCGTGGCACCGCGGCGTGCATGCGCTCCGACTTGCACTCACACCAAAAAATTAAAAGGAAAGTGTTTACTTCTAGGCTTACATGTTTTGTTTACAGTGTTTACTAGGCCGGTTGTCTGTGGAATTACGAGCTGCAGAGCGGATCACTCCAGGTTTAGCTGTAAATTTGTTTATAACGCAGCAGGATTATGCTGACGCAGCATTATTTTGTGCTCATGGTGTACCTCGCTCATCCTGCTTCTCATCCAGAGGAGGGGGCAAACAGGAGGGAAAAAAAGCCTAATTTCTCTCAATTCATGTTGATAATTCTCGTGTGTTTTGTAAAATATTTAAAGAACACTTCTGATTATTTTGTTTTTTCTTGTATTGAAAGCAGCAGCTGATTTGTACAGTGAGATTAAAAATCCTAGTTTTTTTCGGGGGGGGACAAAGAAGGTATAACTGGACTTGTTCTTTTCCTCCCTCTGCCTGTCTTCTGTTTGCTCCTTATTTTGCCACACAAAGACTTGAAATGATCAATGCTAATATATATATATATATATATATAAATATATAGATAGAGATACTGAAACAGCAGATATATAAATCTGTACATATATATTTTTGCTGTTCCTTTGCCATAATTTAATGTAAACTGAATCCTGTATAAACATGCGGAGAGGGTTCTCTAAAGAGGCTATTTTTTAAAGTTGTCAAGGCTCTGCTGCGGCTTTAGGGGCAGGAAACCGTTTCGGTTCTTGTCCTTTTTTATGACCCCTCCCCGCGTTTGATGCTCCGTCTTCGCTGCCACTTCCAGTCTTTGAGTGTAATTGCTGCTGAGTTTCAGGAGGATGTAGCAGAGTGTGTGAGCGTGTATTCATGCGATGTATTTGGGAGGCTGGGATCAAAATAGGTTTTCCTTTTTTTTCTTTTTCAGTCTCTGGGTGCTGCACTGCTCGCACATTATTTCCGACACGAAACTTCTGTAGCCTGCAGTTTTGCTTTGACGGCTGCTGCCTACATGATGGCTGGCCCCTTTCTGGTCCCTTGCCATAGGTTTCATTAAACAAGGCGAGTTCAGGCAAACTCCGACACTGAAAAGAGAGTTTTTGATGCCAGTATATCCCCGCCTGTTTGAACTGAACTGACAAAGCCTCTCCTTTATTCCCCGTTTCCCCTCCTCCGATCTGTTTTACACCCCCTTATCTTAAGCTTGGCATAAAACTTTTAACCTGTATTATCTCTGCTTGCCTTATCATGCATTTCCCCTCAATGCAAGTTTTTCTGAATTGTAAGTCTGTATTAAGGCCTTCACCTCACCCTACCCTTCTTTTTTCCCCCCCCCTACCCTTCTTTTTTTCCCCCCAAGTACATTGACATTTTGCACAATTCTTTTTTATATGTAAATGGAAATCAGTATTAAAGAAATCCACCTATCTGAGATTTATAGCCAGTCACTTTCTTCCATTCAGATTTCTTTCTAAAAAGTATGAGGAAAGGAAAATATAAGAACACACTTATAATATCCTTTCCCATCTCCAGGGAACGGTGATAGATTAATTGTATTGTGACCAGTGGGTAGACAACATTACATCTATGGGTGCACAGTCACTGCAAAACAAGATTTTAATAATGTTCTAAAAGAATGACAAAATAATTGACATACTAGTTTGATTTAAGTATTTAGTAAAGCTAGCATTACTAAAACAGCTTTCTCCATAATGGGTAGGGGAATGTAAATCTTTACCTTCTAGGTTTCTAAAATCCGCTAATGTTTCCTAATCTAGCATGTTCCAATATAGATTAGCTTGAAGAGGCTAAAAGGAGAAGCTCTGCTTTGCTTTGCTTGCACAGCCTTCTTGTTATCTGCTTAAAGTCTTGTTCTCTCTCGCTCTCTTGCAGCCAGAATGAACATCAAACACGCTTTGATGTGTTTTAGAAAATAGCTTCCTTTTAAATAGCTCCTTGCCTTCTTCCTTCAGTAAGGGCCGCCATACTGAACAGTTTAGTTGATCAAGTTGAGAATGATCCGAGGTCAACAGCCGCTCTCTTTCCATCTCCACAGTATTATTGCTCTGTATTGAAGTTTACTTCTTGATGATCTACTCAGTGTGTTGTTTGGATCGCCCAGTTAAAGCAAAACAAATCTGTTTTATTTCTCGGTTAGTGCCCATGTTTTGTTTTTTTTTGTTTTTCATACATTCTTAGATCTCAAAAATACCAATTAAGTGTTCTGTTTTCTGTCTCCTGGAGCTTGTAAAGCTTTACTGACCCCTTTTGTTTTTTTCACTCCTCTAAATAAGCAGTCTAAACAAAACACGACTGTTTTCCTTCAAACATGAAATGAGAAAAACATCATCTTCCTCAAATCGGTCAGAATATAATTTAGCGCTCCACGCTCTATCATCTTTTCCTTGTTTCCTGGAATGCAATAACAGAGATGTGAATGTGTTTCTTTGTGTGTGTTTGTGTGTAAAAACATCTGGCTTTACAGCAGAAAATGCACAATAAGCTTAAATGTGGAGAGTGAGCTGCACAATCTTGTATAAAGAGGTATTAACTCGGTCTGTGGCTTAACGTTGGCTTTTCGTCTCATGTGTAAATGTTGTTACTTATGTCTTTTAGAAAGACAGACATGATTTTAGCTTGTATGCTTTTCTGTATTTTTTACAAGTGATTGTAAATAGTTGTTATATTTTTGTTTAAAAGAATGTTTAAGAAAAGGAACAATGAACTTTTATTTCTCTGAGTCTACTGATATTTGGACTATGAATAAAATGTTAAACTTAAACAGTCGTTGTCTTTTTTTATTTATCTTTTTTAAAAACATAAAGAAATGGTATAATCTGATGATTAAATATGTTTTAAAATAAATTAACGTTAAACCAACACTAATTAACCCTTCAACCTTCATAAAATGTATTAATTATATCTGTGATTATATATCAACTTCCAAAAAAGACACCTGTCATGGCCAGAGGAGACCTGTATCGCTTTAACAGCACAAAGCAACTTTGAGGATGGTGGCAGCAACCCTGCAACACAAAGCAACTACAGATCTGCAGACTGCTTCCCCCTTTCCCCATTAGTTATAAAGACAGAAGTTGATGCGACTAAGTTTCCCTATGTATAAATATAGTATATCTGTGTATATTTTTAGCAAATTGTGCAGGGTTAATATCCAGGCAGTCCTGTTGGGATCTATACATGTGTTTACTGTGAAATGATCAAACAACATATTTATCTGTTTCAAAGCTCTAAAGTCATCAGCATATCACTCGCTGACGAGTCAGGTGTGCCGGAAACAGAAATGTATTTCAGTCCAACTGCAGGTGACCGGGAGATCAGGATTATGTTCTTTACCAAGCTGGTCCTCATGGGAAATGCTGTCTTCCTTCAGGCAAAAATATACAGCTTTTGTCCACTAGGGGGAGCCAACCAAAACTGAAAGTTCCTTAGAACTACTTAAAGCAAAGAACAGACTTTAGGATGGTTTCTTCAGCTGATTGTGGTGATGATACACATCTGTGGACATATTTATGTTACCAGATGATTGAGCTTATAGATTGACTTAAAGCTATATCTAATGAGAAAGCTTTGTTTCTGAAAATATTCCAGTTAATTGAGACAGAATTGGATGTTTTGGTGTCTTTTTCAGGGATTTTATCTATTTTTTTTTTTCTCATAAAACTATATGTCCCTAGAATTTCTTGTTTGTTATAGTTCACACCTCAGACATCAGATGATTATCCTCCTTCTGTCTCTTGGATGTCGTCTCCCCGACATTCTGCTTTGTTCAGCTATTAGATCTGATCCAATCTGGAAAACACTCAAGGTGAGTCTGTTTTTTATTGCTAATTAAAGGTTTATTGTCACAGAGAGGAAGGCTGCTTGACCTCCCTGTGTGTATGAAGAAGAGTCTGTGTTCGGATGCAGCGCTGCCTGTTCTGGGTGCATTCCTCCTGCAGATGCACATGTGGGGCTCAGCTAATCACCGTTAGGTCTGATTCACTGGGAGGAGGGGTCATTTTTCTTTCAAATGGGGATTCTCGTGGTTCACTTCTCCTTTTTCCTGGTGCATTTAGTTTTATCACCATATTTCCCTACCTGAGTGTTGAATCTTTGCAGCTCCTCTAGAATTACATTTAGCCCCTTAGTCCCTTCTGTGATTAATGCTCTTCTTACTCTGCTCTTTTTGCTCTGATTTATAACAGCAACTTATTTCATCTTATTTGATTGATGTGTACTAGGCAAAAACTTTTAGATAAAAAAAAAATGTAAACCTTTTTTCTTCTGTTTTCACAAATTAAAAAACAAATACATTAAAGTTTGTATTTTATTTCAATTCAGTTTCAATTCATCCTCTGAAATTCAGTTTCAAAGTAGAACTTTGAAACTGAATTTCAGAGGATGAGTTCTATGCTTTATTTTTTTATATAACCAACATTTTCACTTTAAAAGCTGGACTCTGCAGAATTTGAAGATCTTGAATGGAGGTTCTGTAGTTGAGCCTCAAGTTAAAATTTCCTTTTCTCATATTTGGGATATTGGCTTTGGATATAATTGCAAGCAAGTCAGCAAAGAATTGAATAAATTATCATCTGGGGGGCATGTGTTCAATGTTGCCTAAAGTAAAGTGAATTTTAAAGACATTTTACTTTAAGTTTAAATGAATTATGTTGGTTATAAGTCAAAGTGGGGGAGAAGGATGAAAGGTTTCGACTATTAACCTGAGAAATTAAAACTCAGCTGCTCTAAAACCCGTGGGTGAAATTATACACTGTCTCCAAAGTATGTAACAAAGAGAAAAGGAAACAAGACAGGAGAGAAAATTGGAAAAAAAGAAAAAATCTAGGACTCCTAGGTTCTTTACTGAGTGCACCCTGCATGCACATAGAGGTGTGTGTGTCTAACCTTTCCACTGTTTTGACTTTGAAGTTGTGACTTTGTTGGGAGCAGAAGCTGAGAGCAGGAGGTGGGAAAACGGAAACCTGCCTCCTGAGGTGTGTGCTCACACATGGGGGCTGCCATTTAGCATATTCCTCTCTAAATTAAAATTTCAAAAGCAAAATAGCTCAGAATAATATTCTACCACCTGTACAGTCTCTGCAAATCCACTATTGAGATTATGCATATTTGCCGTGTGTGAACCTAAAAGCAATGTGGTACCTTTTGTTTCATTAAGCTGCCATGTCTTGTTTTAAATGTTTTACATCTCTATCTGATAAAAACTATTTTAGAGGCTTCCCCTTAGAGATTAATGATGACCACCAATTCATAATTTGGCAAAAACACTTTGGACAATCACTTATGTTCTTTTTTTTTTTTCATTTTAATGCCTTGGACATGGGGCCCTTAGCAACACTTAATTTTTTGGCCCTACATTTATGCCGGTAATATTGATTGCTGCAATCAATAGTTCGATGATCAGATCACTCACACACCTACTTTAAAATCATTTTAGCTCTTGCAGTCCTGTATATGGTCTCCTGTATTATTTAGAGTTATTAAAAGTAATAAAATAAACTAGTATGTTGTTTATTTACTGTAAAAGTGTCCCATGTTTATACTTTTTGGTTCCAACTGCAACAGCAATATGCAAAAATGACCTTTACTGCAAGAGCAACAAGCCAAAGGAAATAAATAAAATTTGTACAAAACGGAGATTATTCAAATAAAGTATAATGCAGGCTCTGAAATAAACAGAAAAAAGTTTAATTATTAGCTTTATAGATTATTTAAATTAATATAACTTTATGTAAATTATCCATTTTAAAATATAAAGTTTTTGACCCACAAAGCTTTATGTTACACTGTCCGTCCTTAATGCTCCACTGGCTCTTTACAGCCTGGGCTTCCCAGCTTTTCTGTTTGCAAAGTCATTGATGACATCACACTAACAATCTAACAGCCAACTTTGTTGATAGACTCAGACAGATTTATTTGTCATTTTGTTTAGTGTAAAACAAAAAGAAACTTCCTTTAGAACAGCTCTCTGGACAATTTAATTTTTTTTTAAAGTGTAGCCTTGATTAATACTAAAACCTATCAGGCATCTCAGTCATTCTTCTGCAATGGAAGATCTCAGGTAGTTTTCTTTTTATAGAGAAGTGGTGGCCTAGTGGTTGGGGCATAGAGCTTGGAATCCTGAGGTTCTGAGTTTGAACCCCACTCTAACAGACTGCCACCCTGGGTCTCTGAGCAAGAACCTTAAACCCATGCTTCTTCCCGGGCACTGCAGGATGGCATTATTATTATTGTCATATATAATTAATGCTTTTCTACATGACTAAAGATATATTGACTTTTTTGAATTTTATCATGAATTTATGTTATTG